GTGTGGGAGGTGGATGAGATCTTAAAAATACCTATTGCTAGGTATGGTGCAGTGGAGTGGATGTGTGGACGTGACACTTTACAAAAAATGGTGATTTTTCTATTCGTAGTGCATATCATGTGGAATTGAAGGTGAAATCTAAAAATGTGGCCTCTTCTTCTGTGACTGCCAATTCTAGTGTATGGAGCAATTTGTGGAATGCTAAAATTCCCCCAAAGAATAAACTCTTTGGCTGGCGAGTTCATCATGACATTATTGTTGTTCGCGGCTCTCTTTTAAAGCGTGGTATGAGTGTTGATGTCACCTGCCCCTGCTGTGGTGATGGTGCTGAATCCCTGGTGCATACTCTTTTTCTATATCAGGACGCCCGTATGATATGGTATGCTTCCCCTCTTCGTTTAGATGTCACTAATTTGCTTTCAACCTCCATGTTTAAGTGGATTAACTCTCTGATTTACCTTTACAAAGAGAAGATATGGTGGGATTTATTTTGGTGTATTCTTTGGGGTATTTGGTTGAAACGCAATGCCTTTGTTTTTTAGCATAAGACTATCTCGATTGAAACTGTAATTTTCAAAGCTGCTAGTACGTCTAATTGTTGAGTTTGCCAAGGCTAATGAGACTGCTTCCCCGAATGTTGGTTGCCCTGGTGCTTGTAGGCAGTTATGGTCTCCACTAGATTTGGGTGTGTACAAAGTTAATTCGGATGTTGTTTGCTTTGCGAATGATATAGTGGGTTTTGAGGATGCTATGAGGGATTGGATGGGGGATGTGATGGCTGCTACTTGTTGCACTAAGGTGGGTCCTTTGAGGTTGAAGTTGTGGAGGCTATGGCAACTAGACATGCCTTGTGCATTGCACTTAAAGCTGGTCTTCATCACTTGATCTTGGAGGTGGATTGTTTAAGCCTCTACCAAAAGTTGTTGAATGGCACTCGTGTTACTTCTGTTGTTGTCACAATTATTAAAGACATTCGAAAGCTCGCCAACTGCTTCTCCTCTTTATCTTATAGTCATGTGGGTATGAAGGGGAATGGGGTTGCCCATAAGCTTGCTAAAATAAGTAGGAATCACAATGAAATGAGAGTGTGGATTGAAGAAGTCCCAGCATGCGTGTGTAATGATGTTGCCTTTGATGTAACTTGATTTTCTCCCTTAATAAAGCTTCGTTGTGTTTACGTGTCAAAAATAAAAAAATAAAATAAAGGGTAATTTGTAAATTACCACCCAAAAATCGGGGAAAGAGAGTGAGAAATCCAGAGAATAGAAGAAAAAAAAGGAAAAAAAAAAGTGGGGCCCACTAACGGAATTTTCACCAGAATTTAGAAATGGGTGGTAATCTGCGCGCTTATTTAATTTAAGGGTGGTTAAATAAATATAATTTTATTTTGGGTGGTTATATCAAAAATGGTCTTATTTTTGAGTGGTAATTTACAAATTACCCTAAAATAATAAAATAATAATAAAAAATAAACTGCAGATAATTCACAACAATTAAATTCAAACTAAATTGCATAATCGTAAAGAGAATGAAATTGACGATTAAATTACCTTGATGACGGAAGATAAACAAGTTTGGATCAACTTGAATCATCAATTTTGATGAACACAAGAGAGAGAACGAAGAGAGAGGTGAGAGGAAGTGGAAAAAACCAAAAAAAAAAAACTAGCCATCTCCTCTCTATTTTTTTTTCCTCTTTAGGGTTCTCCAAAAAAAGTGTTTCATTAACCGAAAATAGTCAAATTTTTCCGAAAACTTGGCTATTTCCGACTCTTTTCCTTTAGTTTCTTTATATTTTTGTTATTGAATTCAATAAATCTACACTCTTCAAAGGTAGTAAGTACCCCTGTAAATGGTTTGAGTGTAGTAAGTACCCCTATGGTGGGCTTTGTTCCAATTTTGTTTTTGTTTTTTGAGTTTAGTATGGTACAAGTTGTTTCATGGGTAAAGATTTGTGCAGAATCGAAAAAGAGGTTAATCCTTCGATTACAACCAGATGAATCAAACTAAATTTTCTTCACGACTACAACAGATCGATAATCCCCCTCGTTGAAGAAAGTTGTATATCACAGTGATATAAAAGAGGGTATGAAGAATGTACGAGTTGCAACAACGATCATAGCTCTGCTGAAAGGATGCTTTTATTTAATTCAATTGCCATGTATTTATTAGATTTAAATCTCTTTGAAGATGTCGTATGACTTTTTATTTATGAATCAATCTTTATTTAAAACAAAAGGAGAGAGAGGTGAGCGAATGAAGAGAGGGAAATGGTGAAAGCGGCTGTGAGAAAGTGACTATTAGAGTTCTTTTTACTGCCGTTTAGGTTTAAGGTTTACTTTAGTCTTTAGATTTGGGCTTGGACCCATATTAAAAACTTAAAGGCTAAGGATCATTTCACTAATTGGGTTATACAGGTTGGGTTTGGGTTGACCGACCGAAACTGACCAAATTAGTTAAATGGGTTAAGGCCGGTTATTTTCGAATTAGGATTTTCAACCTTAATCTGACCCGTTTATTTTCAAGTCGGGTTTGAGTTGATTCAGTTACATAAATGGATTGAAAATATCACTCAAAATCATTTATTTTAGGTCGAGTTGTCGAGTCAAATCAGCTTTTGCCAACCCTAGTTGGATGTTAGTACTCCGTAAATTATGAAGTAATGAATATGGCTCATATTCTTTGCTTGACAATGGATCACTTAGTATCAAACTCACATGACACAAACTTAGAGTCAATATTGGCCCAAATTTACCCAGTCAACAGTAGCTTGAAAGATGTTTGTTGTCGCTTTCCCTAAATAATGTTGGGAATTTCTCTAATTCCCAAAATACAGCCACTTTTTTATATTTCCATTATACCGTCCACGTCACTGGTTCAGTGGAAAATTTTTTTAAACCGGTTTTTTTTACAAACCGCAACTTGAATTAGCGGTTTTCTTATTAGAAACCGCTACTTCAAGTAGCGGTTTGTATTTACTTAGTTTTTTTTTTTTACAAATTCACTTTCCCCTTCTCCTCTCCTCTTCTCCCTCTCCTCTTCTCTCTCTTCGCCTCTCTTCTCTTTCTCTCTCCTCTCCTCTTTCCTCTTCTCTCTGAACTCCTCTCCTCTCCCCTTTCCTTCTCTCTCCTCCCTCCTTCTCTCTCCTCCGCCATTCTCGTCATTTCTCTTCTCCTCCCTCCTTCTCTCTCCTCCGCCATTCTCGTCATTTCTCTTCTCCTCTCTTCTCCTTCTCACTTCTCCTCTCTTCTCCTTCTCCTTCTTACACCAACAACAAAACCGTACCAACGCCGCTGCGCAACCAACACCAACACCACCACCACTACGTAACCTACGCTCCTTGGAGGTGATGTTTGTCTTCCTTCTCGCCGGTGTCGCATGGTTATTCAGGTCAAATTCAACCATGAAACCTCTAGATCTAGAGGTTTCATGATCGAATTTGGCCGTATTAAACCAAATTCGATGAGAAATTAACATCCAATTTCGATGTTTAGGTATGTTTTTTTTTTTTTGTTAATTTTTGGGTGGTTGTTTGGTTAAGGTTGTAGATCTGGGTTTGGTTTGGGTGTGTTTGGGTGGGTTAAGGTGGGGGTACTGGGTTGTGGTGGTGGTGGTCAAGGTAGATGGTACTGGGTTGTGGTGGTGGTGGTGTCAAGGTAGACAGTTTGTGAGCAAAATCGAAAAATACCGCACCTGATCTGGATCTGGATTTTTTGGCCTTTTGGTCTAATTGTTCATGTTGAATGCTTTGATTACTTGGGTTTAAATTTGATTTGATTTCAATTTAGTTCCACTTTTGGCGATTGAACTTGCAATTCTTTTGGGTTTTTCTTAGGTACTTGCTCAATTCGTATCTTCTGGATTAATTTATACAATTCTAAGTTTTTTTTTTATCAATTTTGTGAATTTTTTTTTTTTTTTTTTTTGTATCAAATTATCTATGTTTCCAAATTTTGGAGTTCATGAGCAATTGATGGTAGAGAACTAGAAATCAATGCCTGCACATTTTTTTTTTTTTTTTATTGTGGGTGGTGGTCAAAAATCACATTCCCCTTCTCATATTTTACCGATAGTTTTTTTTTTTTAATTACAGCAAAAACCGCTACTTGAAGTAGCGGTGTATGAAATTGAAACCGCTACTTGAAGTAGCGGTTTATAAAATAGAAACCGCTACTTGAAGTAGTAGGTTTTTTCTGGATCGATAAAAAAAACCGGTTTTTTTCCCTTAGCTGACGTGGACGGTAGATTGGGAATTAAAAAAAGATTGGCTATATTTTGGGAATTAGATAACTTCCCAACATTATTTAGGGAAATGACTCTTTTCATTGATAGGATTAAACATAACTACTTTAGTAATTTCAAATAAAACATCAACTCTCTCTGTTTCTTTTTATTTTTTATTTTTTATAGTTTCCAATTAAATATTTGTAATTAAAATATTTCAATGTACATATTGCAAAAAAAAAAAAAAAAAAAAAAAAAAAAAAAATTGCAAACTAAAAATCAAAAAATATTTATCTTGTAAGTATTAATTTCATTAATATATTCGAAATAGATCAACCAATTTGCAACATAAGGAGTATAACTTTTGATACCAACAGAAAAAAGGGCCCAATCAATATTTTGTGTGTTTAGCAAGCACATACATTTATTTAATTGCATCAAAATTCATATTTTAATACTCTGTATGATTCATTTGTAATAATTCTACTTTTTTTTTAGTTGCATCATTCCATTCTACTTCGTATTTACACATATTTGACAATTTTTTTTTTATTTACAAGTGACAAAACATATGATCATGTAAATACCTATCAGGCTCCTTCCAAGTCCCAACATATAGTTAATAGTTTCAAAGATATCAACTTTACAAGTACATTTTTTTTTCTCTTGAAAATATGCAAGGCCTAAATATAAAAAGGACTTGCATATACCAAGAAATTCATTGTAACACCAAAAAGAGTGAGAAATGAAAGTCTAACCATCAAGCAACCTTGTCATGTACCAGAAAATATAGTGGATTTCAATTTTTCATCTGCTGACTACAACAAAATTTGCTGACTCCAGAAAAGACATTTCATTTCCAAGGGTAAAATTACTCATCTGCTGACTACAACAAAATTTGAGTAACAACCTCCTTTACTTTTACCTTAATAACTAGAGAAATTTTTGTGTGCAATTAACATTCCACTTTTATACCTTCGCAGTTTTTACAACAGAATTTGACTAAGCAGGAGCATCTTTTATCATCCTGAACCTAAGGATATCTTCTCAAGCTAATTATTAAGCTTGGAAAGTGACTACCTCAAGTGTGCAACTACCTTCGAGTCGTTGTACTACCCATTGCTTTACTGAAACTTGGTGGGTGGACAACTACCATTTTCGGAACTTAATTAATTTTTCCGAAAAATCTTCTGGTCCTACTTTTATACACAAACATGGCCTATAGGCCAAGCCACCCCCTCCCTTGAAGTTGTTAACTTCAAAGGAGCGCCATGCACTATCTTCCGAGAAGGCTTAGCCAGAAAAGTCATGAATAACGTGACCTCCGAAAGGCATCCCTTGCGGTATGAACTGATGCTGCAGCTGCTGCTGAGTAGTCTCTGAACCATGCCGCAGACCTAGAGTAAGTGATACTGCACCTATTCCTCCTAGTTCAAGCCCCCGCCTTTGGTAAGGCAAAAACCCAATGAATGAACTATCGATGCTTGTAGGAACTTGGTGACTTTCAAGCCTTGAGCACTTTTGATTTTGAAAAAGCTGTTCTGTGTTAATTGGCTCACCTCTTGATCTTTCAAGGGAGCTTGATGGTCCTAAGCATTCCAGCTGCTTATCACATACTGGATTTAAAGGCGACGATTTGCAGCCTGATTGATTAGCTGCTGTTGCCTGTCTATTTTTCTCAATGATTGACATTACGCTGTTGTTTGAATTGGACTCAGAACGTGACGAACCTTTGGTTTCAAGCATGTGTATTTCTTCCACCATAGGCTTCCACAGCCGTACTCGAGCATTGATGAACCAATTGGACACCTGCACACATTTTTGCATTATTAAACATGAACTAATGCAAGCCACACAACAAGGAAATCATAAGCTTGCTGCATACTTTGATCAGAGAAATCGAGTCTTCTCAACAACTATATATAGATTGTATTACTTCTCCAAGAAATCTATTTGAGTCTTTTCTATAAACCTACAAAATAGCGATTATCTGACTAAGTCTACAATATTCAGGTGCAAAATGTACATATCAGAGCGACAATTGTATCATGCAATGAAACCCAAAACTATATAAAAACTTCCAAGGAAACTACCTTTGTCCCATTTTCACAATTAAGGTTAGAATATAGATGGGGTATGAGCCATTACGGCCTTACGGGATCTTAGCGTGGAAAAAATTATGGGAGAGTGTCAGAGTAATTGCAAAATTTCCTTCACCAAGTCAAAAGATAGACAAATCAAATAACACTAGTGAAAGAGAAAATAAGTCGAAACTAAATAATGAAGAGCTAAACTTTAAAATTAAGTTGATCAATATTTCAAAGATTAGATTACAATCACATGGGAGTTTAGATATAAAAGAGTAATTGTACATCTGTTGCTTGGGCCTCTCAAGAGTTTCTCCAACTAGCAAGAGTTTGCTCAAGCTTTCAATGGGAAAATTAGGCATACATCTAAAAAGGTAAAACAAACACGTGCCATGGAAGAGAGACGGGTTGGATCAAAGCTTAGACAATCCATTACATTTGCAGTGTAATTCTAAACAATTGGTGATTTCACTGATTTGAGAGAGTTTCCGAGAAGAGAGATGCATTTTCACTGGTGCAAAAAAATTCCACACCCCACCTTAAAGTGGTTCTTCATGTAAGGGACTATAAATTAAGGATAAGTCAAATGAATTTGTCGTGTAAAATTACGTTATCTTATCCTCATGCTGATATACCTACACCTTGTAAGAAACCAACCATAGGGGCTTCATTTTATGGGATGGTCAAGTTTCCATGGGAATAAAAGAATTATGAGTAGAACAAAAATATGAGGCGTAAAGAGACAAAAATAGGGGCCGGGGTAGCCAAAAAACTATGTTTTTGAATGAGGGAGTCATAAGTAGGGATGGCAATGGGTCGGGGCAAATGGGGGACCCGCTCCATCCCCGCCCAAGTGGGGCGGGGATGCAGGGAGGTTTGGCGGGTGATGGGGCGGAGATGGGTATAAAAATTGTACTCGCCACAGGTGATGGTGTGAGTATGGATTTTAGAGTAAACCCGCCCCATCTCCACCCCGCCCCATCACCCGCCTTATTTCTGCCTTGCACTAATTTTTTTTAAGGGTTAAAACAAATTTGGAAGAGACTAGAATCTAAATACTATAATAATATAATATAAATAAAATATTAAATTAATGTCATCAACACCGTATGAATTCCGCCAAGTAGATATAAATAGAGATTCTTTAAAAATGATATTTTTTTATATTATTGTGATATAATATGGCATTACGGTAGCGGGTTTGGGTCAGGTTTGAGGTGGGTATGGATATCCAAATGGTTGGTGGGGCGGAGATGGTTATTAGCTTGTACCCAGAGAGACGGGTATGGATGTGGGTATTGCACCCGCCATGGGTGGTGGGGCGGGGATGGGTGTGGAGGTACCATCTGTAGCATCCGACCCGCCCCATTGTCATCCCTAGTCATAAGTTTACCTAAGTTATTAAGACTCTAATTCACATCATTTTGGACCAAAGACATACATATATATTAAATGTAGAAGTATATTGCTAAAACACAGTTCAACTAATAAACACTAACGGTAGGAGACCTCACCTGGTTTCGAGTCAAGCCAGTTTGGGTAGCTAGCATTTGTTTGTCATTGTCGGTTGGATACCTGCAAACATGAATGTTGAGGCCCCTTGAGTTCAAATACTTCACAATTGCAAGCTATAAAGATGACATAAGATGAGGCATGCAAAAACTCACGGGTGGAGAAAATGGTCAAAGAGCCATGCTCTAAGAATAGAAACTGCACGCTCCGGAAGGCCTCTCTGTGGTCTCCAGACATGGCTTTGGTGACCCACATGACCCGTTCCACCAATAGCACCAGATCTGACCTTTACAAAATTCTGATCATACCTTAAACTACTACTACTGTCACTCCTGAGAAAGCTGGTAGGAGAAGTTAGGTCCTCACCCAAAGCTCTCTTTATGTGCTTGAGTTGGTCCGCAATTGCATTCTTGAGACACCTAAAATGCCTCGAGATGGTCTTAATTGAACGTGAAATGTAGGGTGTCGCATTGCTGAGCCCTGGTACCGAATCAAATGCTGAAATCACCATCTGCATTTGTTGATGATATTGCTTGTGTCGTTTGCAAACCTATAAACATTTCAAGAGCAAAAGATTAACCAAAGATGTAAAATCCCAATAAACACTAAACACCTTAGCATTGGCCAAAAGAACATCCATAATAGATGTTTACAACTTTACATTTTTGTTCAAGTCTTATCGGTAGATTGGAAGACAAGACAATGATAGCTCTAACTTACACTTCACATGTTTGAGACAACAAGTTGTTAATGCCACAAACAAAGTTGTACGTCTTATCACCAGAAAAAGTTAAGCATGATTAATTGGATGTAAATCAAAGGGGCAAGAGTATCATTTTATTATTAAAAAGCCCCAAAATACAGCATAAACTCATAGGTAAGCATGTATCATGGGATCAATTTCGCTCATGCTACATAGGCAAGCTAAAACTTTTAGTGTAATTTATACTCTTCAACGGTGTATCTCAACCAGATTATGTGGACTAGAAAGATATCTAAACCCAGCAGAAATTCGAACTACGTAGAGATTGATGTTCCTAAGACCATGTTAAGCACAGAGATATATTTCTATGGGCCAGCAAACCCCACAACAATTATTAAGTCCATAATTATTAATTTTTTGATCTCCAAAACTCTTTAAAGTTCAAACATGCAAAAGAAACACTTCTAAATAAAAAAAACTTTTTGTTAAAATGATGGGGCCTTTAAGCAAAACTATTGCCAAAATAGGGAAGTAAGCAACAGAAACAATTTTGGATTATATTTAATAAACAAGTTTAAAGGAGACTTTCGTAATAAAATTGATTGTCATATATTGTTAAACCAATAAGACAGCACGAAAGAAAGTCCAACCTCGTTCAAATTACTACAACTTTGCAAATTCAACAAAACAGTGAGATCTTATGAACTAAAATTACATAAACACTCAAGCATACATATAGATATGCCAATCAATACTCAGATTCCGACTTAAAGACCATACAACTGGTCAAACAATCAAGTTTAGAATCTTTAGAAGAGGCACACAAGTCAAAAATAATAGTTTGAATATGAAATGTCCAGTCAAAAACTTTTTGTAAAAGTAACAACTACAAGACAACTAAACAAAAGGTTCAACAAAATAATACGTTGCCATCAAATCCTTGACAAAACATTTTACTAACCAACAACCAATTTACAAAGAACAGTCTTGATGAGTACGTAAACAACCAAATGACGTAGGGTTGGAATGCCCTCAGGGCCAGAAAACAAAGCCCTCTCACTGCACGCATTTTATTTATTGCTTATGCTTAATTGACATAACAGCTCGAATATTGTAAATTTGACTATTTGAAAAACCCTTGCATAGTACACAAAAAACTTACTTTACTTCTAGACATAAACAAATTAGAACATTGTTCCAAAACAACTCTTAAATATGTTATTGGTTAAGCAAGCCATAACGGAGCAATAGTTTATCATCACAAGCTAATGGTACGGCAAAAATTATCCTTGTTTCCATGTATGTAGGTGGAATTACATGGCTTGGTAACACTTGGCATAAACCTAGTGTCACAACCTTCATATTGCTTGCTGAAGGGGCGTTTTTGAAGTTTGATTTAATTTCTTAAGATATAGGTTGGCTAATTAACAATGAATTGAACATCATACATTCAAAATCCAACACCAAAACTGCCCATAATACGTTTTTTCCTGACACAATGCCAACGTACAAATATCTCCATAATCCACCGTCATTATGGACTAATGTTTAAGGATAAGAATAAGAGGAAAGAGGTTAAAGATACGAAAGTGACCAACAACTGTAAAAACCAATCAAGCCAAAACCCTACAGTTTCTTCACTATATTGCATGCATTAAGAAAATTCATTCGGGAACTCATGAGCAAGTACTTCACTAATTAGTTCAATAACCCAAATAATGAAACTCAACTACATCCCGCATCTCTGCCCTAGTGCCCTCTATGCTTGTTATCCTTTCAACCTTCACTGCCAACAAAAACCTAAAGGAAACCAATAACAGCCCCAAATTTTGCAGTGTTTCGTCACATTTCAATGTCAAATAAGCCTTAACAAGTCATATAATTTAGAAGAAGCTCATCCTCTAGTTGCAAGCAGACCACAAATAATACTTCTATTGAATTTCTCTATATTCCTTAGTATAAATTGATTTTATACTAGAGCTGACATACAACACATTACCCATTTACCATAGATTTCAAGAAATTCCACTAAAAGCATGACAGGTAGAAGGGAATATTATATGCCAACTCCATTGTTACAATAAGTTCTGGTACTTCTCGTGCCTAGTCAAAGATATGCAAAAATAAGTTTCTGAAGTTTTTGGCCAAAACGGAAGAGGTCAATCACATAGCTTGGTTTTGAATCTTTTTACACCAAAGGTTAAAGCATTTTATAAAATTCCAACAATTGCAAAAATAAATGGAAATATATTAAAACACATATCCTGAGCAAGCAAAGCTGCCTGATGCATGAGTCGAGGTCATTACTCATTAACCATTTTGTTAGGTTTTCAATCAGCCATATCTAAACATTTGTTCTCAAATCATCACAAATTTGTAATGCTATTTACTGTTGAACACAAAATCACTGTACATGTTAGGCAATTGCAAGTTGCTACAAGTTCCTCCATCTCCCCTATTTCCTTGAACAAAAAGAAAATAAAAAATGAAATAAACTTTTGTGTTGAAAATTCATTAACAGTAGAAAACTTTTTCAAGATAGTGTTAACAAGTTTTTATTAGTTCTGAATATATTCCATCAATTATTTAAGGGGTAGAAATTCTCCTTTCAAATATTCTTATTGGATTATACACTTCAAATGATATAAATTTAAGACAAAAATACCAAATGGTAGCATAAGACAAGCAACTAAAGCATTCATGATTTAGCTTTGATAATCCTCCAGCCAAAAAAAAAAGGAATTGTATGAATTATTATAAGAAGTGTAACTAGCAAGTTAATACCATAATCTATTATAGGAACCTGATTCTATCAGATTATAATATATTAATGAACAAGTTGCAAATTGTAAATCATACCTAAATGCAGTTTGGGCAGATTAAGCCTTTAAACGATTGCGTACACCAAATAAAACTTTTCAATCCACTACCAAACTGAGTAAGATAACATTCTATGGTAACCATATCAGATGCATTTTTATAATTGTGCCAATTTGATATTAGCGATTCAATAAGAAAACAGCAACACAATATTCCTATACTTAAACTTCTGTGAGTTATAGATATTAGAAAATGTCATTAATAGTATGTGTCTGATTCTTTATCCTTAATATGACAACATAATTCCACTTGCGAAACACTTGAAGGAAAGCATTACTGTAGACTAATGACCAAACCACAAACCACTAAAGGCAAAAAGTAGTACAACAGGAATAGATGAGAAAATTTGGAAGCAAACCTCCAAAAATATTAAAAGTTCTAACACATCGATTGTATATCATTTTCCCTTTCAAAACTTCATGCAACAACAGACATGATGTATGTCACCTTTTGATTCCAAACATAAGCAGAAACAAAATTAATTATATCGTGGTCATGTTTTCAATTTACATTTAATCAAGCAAAATTTAATTACAGTTCAATGCATTTACAAAACTATTACACCCTACCTTGCATATCTAAAACACATGGGAGCAAGGGCTCATAACTAGAAGGAACTATTCATATTATGTAAACACAAAAACCATAAGCAAAAGACAATTATCCTGCATGGACAATTGCATATAATAATTTGGAGCTCAGACCGAACAAAGATTATTTGGACAAGGAAATCTTTCCTTTTTTAACATACTACGTAATTATATAATAATAGAACAAGAAGTTCAAATTTTTTACAAAAAAATTAATCTTAGCTTCATTAAAAGCAAGAACAATGAATTCTTTCAAAGAAAAGAATAAGTTAATAGCTTATGAAGTTGGAAACATTCCAGTTTGGGATAATATGCAATCATTATGCTCCAACCTCAAGCAAACGAAACCATAACACACATATTTTAGAGCATAAAAGTTATTTTCGTTGAGCAAAAAAATCGATAGATCGATAGATAGATAGAAAGGCATACAACATGTTATAAGTTGAGCAAGTCATGGTAAAACTCGCTCAAGGATACATCTTTAATAAATATATTTGACGCCAACGTCTTTCACCTTGCAAAACATCATGTAAGTTAATAAGAAATAAAAATTTCAAAATTTATTACCAGTAACATTATATTGTAACAACTTTATTTTTATATTTGGAGTATATAATTTGTATTATTGTGTGCCTTATATTGCGACAAAAATTAATAATGAAAGTTGACAAAGTTCAACCAAAATACTCAGTAAAATGTAACAACCTATTACTCTAAAGACGAAACAAGTTGGAAAAACATCAGCAAACTCGATCATCAATTGATTCAATTCACAAGAGTCACGTACAAGTCCAACAAATGAAATTAAATTTATGCACTTACTGTACTATTTATTTAATCATATATTCCTGAATTATATTTAAACAACAAGAACAATAAACCAATTAGAAGATAAACAAAATTATGTAGGAAAGGAAAAAGGGAACAAACCTCTTCTTGCATGTGAAGAAGTTTAGCTTTCCTTTCATGGCAATCCGGCCTGTAAGACTCACAAGAGGAACTCTTACAACTCAATTCATTCGATCCATCCATTTTCGAGGCCACGACAGTAGAACAATCACCCACATTACGACTCCTCGAAATTGCTAAACTCTGATCATTTCCCACATCTTCACCCCCTCTCCATAAACCAGCAGCACTAAAGAACTCATCCAACATCAGTTGAGCCGGCTTTAAGAACTTAGAGCTCTTCAAAATCGCTGCATACCCGGTAAATGGCCCGAGTGGACCGACATTTCGATGCACCTGAATCGAGCTTCCGGCTACATCCTGAACCTGATTGTTATTATTATTATTATTATTAGCATTACCACATTCTAGCTTGGCAGTACCACCGCTCATGGACTGCTTAACAACAGACGATATGCTACCGGACTCGAACGGCTTTAACTCCCGGGGATCACCACCTAGATGACGATACTCACATAATTGATTCGACGACAACGATAATGACAGCCCGTGGCCGTGAGGGTGAGATCCAACATCATTAGCATGATTAACGAAATTCGAAGGAAGTAAAGGGAGTTCATTATTCCCACCATTAATCCCCCAACTTTGATGAACATTATTATTACTCTGATAATCATGAAGTTCATGAGGATGACTTTGAGTTTGAATCAGAAACTGCGGTACAGAAGGCGAAACATGCCTCTGTACCCAATTATCATCACAGCTCGGCGGCGGCATCGGCTGCTGCTGAGGGTCACACGAATCCGAACTCGAAGGGGTTACAAATCGAGTTGGGTGGATGTTAGGGAACGAGTTCGAGGCCGAGCCAAAACTCAACATCTCCGGTGCCGGAAGAAGCATCATCATTGAAGAAGTAGTAGTGTTACTATTGCTATTATGAAGATGATCAAAACTACTTAACTGTTGAAGTTCGTCAATATGTTGTACTCTAAGCTTATCTCGCCGCTGTTGTTGCGCCACGTGCAACTCCGGCATGAAATTGTTGCTCATTTCCATTTCAGTCGTCAAATATAAGTGATCTTCTCAAATGTTTAATTTCAAACCTTCACAAAAAATGTAACAATAATGATAAGAATAAAAATCAAGAATATTTTTTTTTTTTTAAATATTAGTGGAGAAATGTAATGGAGAGAGAAAAACCATAGGAAAGAAAATATCATATCATCAAGAGCTATTTCATCCACACAGTACAGCTTTGCTGTCGGCAAGCTAATACTCCTAAAACCACAAAAATAAAACATACCCATTTTATTTTCTTCAAAAGAAAAAAAAAAGAAAATAATAATAATAATAAAAAGCTTCAACAAAGGTAATAGTGTAAACAAAAAAGAGTCAAGATTTCTGAGCGCATACTAGTTAACTCATCATCATCATGTCAAAAACCCTAAAAAGTAATAAATTAGTATGAGACGATCTCACCAAAGCCGAAAAGGATAACGTACCATGGATACAAAGGAAAAAAAAAGAGCTAACAGTAAAAGAAATGATACTGTGTATAATCTGAGTTAAGCTTGTAACAGTGTCAATGGAGAAAGAAAAGAAAAATAAATAAAGGTTTTTTTTTTTTTTTTTTTTGAGTTATTCGTTGGTGAATATTGGTAGCAAGAAAATCGAAAATGGAGATGTCACCCACACGTTTCCTAAAACAGGAAAGAGAGAGAGTGTGAGTTAGGCAGAAGAGAGAGAAAGAGTGAAAGTGAGAGACAGCACGGAAATGTTCTTACGCTAACTTTGCGTTTTAAAGCTGAGGCCGACACCCTTTCATTTTTTTCTCTCTTTTTTTTTCACCCTTTTTTTTTGTTCTTCTTTTAATTACCAAATTCTTATTGCAACTCTTTTTTTTTTTTCTTCAATTTATTTATGTACTTTTTCCCGCTATGATGCTGTGTGGGTGGATCCATTATCTATTGCTCTTTAAAATTTTGAATTTAAACTTTCTTCTTCAATTCTTAATATTGGTTTCAATTTAAAGATGGGCATCTATTCAAAATAAAAATTAAAGATGGGAATAGTAGGAACGGGCAAGCGCAAAGATTTTTCATAAAGCATGGCATAAAAAATACGATACAAAATGCATTATGGCAGACTGGTGGATAATCAGCCGTACATGAGCATAATTTTCAAATTTTGGCACGGACTTGCATAAGCACGATAGTCGGTGCTTCTTATTTTTTTACCAATTTAACAATAATTATAAAGGGGATCGATGCTCAGCACAACATGTGTCGATTCGTATTTGGGCTTTTTGTGATAGATTGGCACAATACAATTATTTTTTGGCTCATTTTAGACACAAGACAAGTAGGCACAACATGAGAATATATCAAATTTAATGAATCTTCATATGAAATTTACTCCCTCCATCTTGAAGTTTGTCTCGTATGTAAGGAGTGTGTGTTTATTACCTTTTACTAATGTTACTAGCAAAGTAGCAACAGTTTGAGCAACAAATGTTCTAATTGTATTACTCTCTAATCTGGTTCAGAATAATTAACACGCTCATATAGGCATAATAACATTTGTTTTTTATAAATTAAAAAAAAATGTTAAAGGTAATACTCTCTCCATCTCCAATAGATTGACACATTTTTCTTATAATTCCTTTTTAATTGACACACTTTTTTTTTAATTTGTTTTAAAAAATAGTCCTTTTATATTTTCACTCACTTGTTACAGGTCTCACTTTTTTCACAACTTTTATGAAAACAAATTAAGAAATTGATTTTTACTCCTACCATAAAAGGCCAATTTTTAGATAATCATACACATGGCATTTTCATTTTGAAATTCCAAAGGAACTCCACAAATAGTAATATAAGGTGTTTGGTTGCAACACAAATGGAAAATTAAAAATTCATGTGATAATGTGGGAAATGGGAAGAGCATTCATGGGAATATTCAATTACCACGAAATATGAAAAATAAATTATCAAGTTCCTTTCTGATAATTCAAAATTCTCATAACTTGTAAAGTCTATATAACAACCAAACAAGTTTAATTAATTCCTAGAAAATTTGATATGAAATTTTAATTTACATAAAATATAAATATTCTTAGAAAATTAATTTTTATGTTAACTAAACAAAAAACAACACCTAAGACAATTTACTACTTTGTATAATAATAGACAAAAAGAGTACTTAATTAAATTCCGAAGACACAAACGGAGTACAATAAAATTATACCCTAAACCTAATTTATTTTTGGTACTCCGTAGAAGAGTACTCCTTATTAACCCAAAAAAACCCCTTTCACCATTATCAAAAAATAAAAAATCAGAAAGACGGTCTACTGAGGACAATCAGTTTAATAAATTATGGAAGTGAAAAAAAAAAAAAAAAAAAAAAAAAGGAGAAGTTGGGCAGCGTGGAAATAGTACGGATAGGAGTAAGAGTAGAAAAGTGAGTGTTAACGTCACACTTACAGCGTACTTACTTGACTGTAAACATGCCCACAAATCTAGGCATTAAGTAAATTTATTTAACTGTGGATCGTATCTTTTGCTTACTATTTTAGCAATAATCTTCTGATTTTACCAAAAGCTGCTCTTTTTGCCAGACTTAACTCTACCTCCATCTGCACACAACTAAATTTTTTACTGTACTTACTCTACGAGTACTGTTTTTAACTTTGGGTTTTTAACTCGTACGTGCTCTGTTTGTGACTTTGTGTTATAGAGTAATATAATCAAGGAAAATTTAACATTAGTGGACTAATTTTTAGCCGGTTCTCTAATAATGGACTGATCTTTAAATCTGCCCATATTAGACACAAGATTAACATTTTTCTCTCAAAATGAACTCAAATAACCGGTGACCTGTACAACCGGTCATTTTTCTGTAATTATCTTTTTTTTTTAATTAAAAATCTTTAATTTTCTTTTTTAAATTAACAAAATAATTTTTTTTAAAAAAAAAAAAAACAGCCCCTCACCCCATTGCCAGCCACCCCCTTCTCCACCTCTCCTCCCTTTCCGACCATCCCCTCACTCATTCCTCCATCACCTTCCTCCATCTCATCTGCCATGGATGAACCAACTCAAGCTTCATCTCTCCTCTCCAATTTTTTTTTAATTTTTTTAATTTCAATTTTTTTAAACTTATTGTTGGGTTTTTTTTTCCTTCTCTCTCCTCCCAATGTACACCACCATTGCTCCACCTGCACACCATCTCCGGCAGCCCCTAACCCTAGCCCAACCATCGAAGACCCCTTCCTCCCCTTCCCCCGCCACGAAACCACCCCTCCTCCTCCTCACCCCTCAATCTCCCCTGCTTCCTCACTCCAAACCCACGCACGACCGTCCACAACCACCACACTCACACTACCTTAACCCACCGAAATCACCATACCAACCCACCCCACTACCACCAAGATCCAAAAACCCACCTCCTACCTACCCGAAAACCACCCTCTCACCAACACCAAGATTTGAAACCCACCCCACCCATCTCGCATTCAAACCACGAAGCTACCCCACCAGTGGCGTATCCAGGAATTCCGAACCGTGGGTTCGAAATCTTAAAAAAAAAACGATGATCATATATTGATTAAAAATTCAATACATAAATTCAAATTTTTATTACAAATGGATGGATTACACACTAAAAAAAAAAAAAAACTACAAAAGCATTCTTCGAGTTTTCATACTTTGAAAGCGTGCTAATACATCATCATCACTAACTCTTGCAAATAAGGCTCTCTCAAGATAAGTAACTAAACTATCATTCAATAGTTGATCACCCATACTATTCCGCAACTTATTTTTTACATAAGTCATTGATGAAAACACTCGTTCCACGCTTGCAGTCGCCACCGGAAGGATCAATGCTAGTCTTATCAACAAGTAAACTAATTTGTAAGAAGTATGCTTATTTGTTTCAACAAGCATCATAGAAAGCTCATTAATACCCTTCAAGTCTCCAAACCTTGCATCTGTACGCATGTCATTAATATAGAAACCAAGTTCATGACGAAGAGCAGTCATTGTCATGTCATTAGTTGGAAACTCTTCGGGATATAACTCGGCAAGTCTCATCAACTTTTGCTTATCAAATGCCGCAAATGAATTTACCGGATTTAAGCATGACATACAAATAAGCAACTCCATATTTTTCTCATCAAATCTATTATTGAGCTCTTGGAGTTGTAAAACAATGACACTTAAATACATTTCTACCCGAAAACGATGAAGATTTGTCACTTTGGCAAAGAAGCGTTTTGATCTTCCACGAGGAACATACATATCATCCATATTAGGAGCTTCCACATTATGTTTAGCACAAAAAGAAAGCACAAGATGCAAAAATTCTTCCCACCCATGGTCCCTCATTTGTTGCAATTGTTCCTTAGTCAACGTAACAAATGACATGGCATTAACAATATCTTGGTCTCCTCTTTGCAAAGCTTGACACAATTTATCAGTTTGCCCAAATATTTCAGACATCAAATGTATCATGAAAACAAACTCAAAGGATTTAAATGTAGACATAACAGTGATAGCCTTTACACGATCATCCTTATAAAGCTTATTTGATCCAACCTTCTCGAGAACTTTGACAATAGTAGCATATAATGAGGTAACATTTGAAACATTTTTGTAGTGTGACCCCCACCTAGTATCACCAGGCCTACCTAAACCAAGTTCTTGGTTTAAACCTTGCCCGCTTTCAATTTCCCCTAGATCTAATGCTTCTAGAACATGTTGAGATTGTATTTCTCTTATCATTTCCCTTCTCTTACAAGAAACACCAATAATATTCAATAAAATAGCAAGTTGGTCAAACAACCAAATACAATCATCATTATCCTTAGCAACAGCAACAAGGGTTAATTGAAGTTGGTGAGCAAAACAATGAATATAATAAGCTTGTTTTGTTTCATTCATGATCAAAGTCTTCAAACCGTTTATCTCACCCCTCATATTACTAGCACCATCGTAACCTTGTCCACGAACTCTAGACAAACTCAATGAATACTCCATAAGCAAAGACTCAATTGCACTTTTTAGTGACAAAGCAGTGGTATCCTTAACATGTACAATTCCAAGAAACCTCTCAGTTATCTTCCCTTTATTATTCACATAACGCAAACAAAGGGCCAATTGTTCCTTTTGAGATACATCACTAGATTCATCTGCTAGTATTCCAAAGTAGTCATCCCCAATATCATCAATGAGAAGTCTAGTGGTTTCTTTGGCACAACAATTAATGAGGTCCTTTTGAATTAAAGGATAAGTCATTTGATTATTTCCCGGGGCATTACTTAGAACAACCTTTGCAACATCACTATTATTCTCTGAAAGCCATGTTAAGAGTGCAAGAAAATTACCCCTATTCCAAGAGTCTTCACTTTCATCATGCCCACGACAAGCTAAGCCTTGACTTAGAAGAAACTTAATACATTTTAATGAATAAGTCAATCGATATTTGTATTGAAGTTTAGCTTCTGTGGTGTAAGTGGAAAAAGATTCGGCAACTGATGTTTTTGGGTTAATGAAAAAATTGTATTTTTCATAAGCTAGATTATGCAAACTACCAAGACCTCCCACATGAATATTAAATCTACCAATCTTATTCCATCCTCTAAACCCCCCTTTAATAAAGCAATCATTAGCAGCCATAGAATCAACTTTATCTTTGAACAAGTAGCACACAAAACAAAAAGTCGCATCTTTCTCCACACTATATTCAAGCCAATCATATTTATCAAACCAAGCAACATTAAATCGACGCATACCTCCTATTTTTCTTCGAGGGAAATTATGAGTGCATGGATCACAACGTTTCATTGTAATATAACCTCTTCTCACAACATCCCTGTCAGTAGCAGGATATTCCAAAATTGGAATTCTTTTTCCAGGATCATGTGGAAGAAGATGAACATCATAAATGCGAGTATCATCAGACTCAACACTAGCATTTGGATTACTTTGAGTTGTGTTTTCAGGGATTGGAATTGAAGCAGCCACTGGAACCGCATCATTATTAGGAGACACGACATCCGCATCATCATTAGGAGACTCAATATCCACATCATCAATAGGAGTTACAACATCTTCTTCTATTGGAAGATTCCTTGAACTAGGTGAAGAACAAGTAGAGGACTTTTGTGACTTCCCGGCACGTTTCCAAAAAGACTCTAAACTCATGGTAACAAAAGCTCTACAATCTACAATAATACACAAAATACACAATTAATTATCAATTAAAATCACAAGTCCCCAATAAACAAGGCCTTGCTGCCTTG